CTTTTCCAAGCCACTCCAAGCTCAGCGGATTGCCTACTTTTAGGCTGCTTCTTTTATTCTATTCCAGCGCCACTACAAACGCTTATCGGTAATCTGTTTAAAACATATATCTCCAACATAGTTTCAGCTAGAATTTTCAAATTAAGTAAAATGTATGTAATGTAATATGTTCGATTTAAGATATAATACTCCTCAAAGCTTCTGTATTTATATTTCTTAAAAGCGTATTTCATTTAGTAGAGAATTGTGCTTTGGCAAATGCACGCATCAAATGTTATTATCACAATCTGAAAGTTTAAGAAAATAGACCATATACAAAAAGTTATTATTATTATGCTATGAATTTATGTTATTAAGTAATTTAAGTCATTAAGCTTTTTAATTTAATAAGCAGGCATATTAGTTTATTGAAGAGTTCAGAAGATCTCGTACATGAGCAGTGTCTGCAGAGGCGCGAATTTCAAACTCCAGGGCTTTATAGGCCTCGCTACCAGCTATTCACAAGTACAATATGTTATTTGTTTAGCTAAGTACAAATCTATTATTTTGTTTAGCTTCAGACTCAAAATAATTGAGTCTACTAGATGAAGAGAGTCTCAGAGTTAGATAGAGTTTGAGTTCAATTGCCTTTCTGTTATGCACTTCTACATTTACAATGGAATTACTATCATTACCATCTATCTACTACATGGGGCACACAGTTCTCAGACCATATAAATGTAATTGTGAATGCAAATGGGCCAAATTTATTTCTCATGCTCCCCGGAAACAAGTTCACATCTTCCGACATTTCCCATTGTTGTAATAGATCTAAGTATGCCAATCAATTCAATATTATTTAAAGTGAAAATCGAATATAATTGCAGTAATTAAAACCCGTTTCTGAACGCACTTAGCTGTTGCATGATGTCATGTTCGAGCTTAGCGTTCGATAAAAATATAAACACTAACCGCAAATATGCATTGCAATCGTTCTGCTCTACGTTGAATCCAGGTTGTATTTTCCCCTTTAACAAAACTCTGTATGAAACAAGAGCAAGTTGGAAAATAACATACTTGCAGTTATTCCTTAGATACTGCACCGGGAATATATCACCAAATGTAGGATTATATTTAACTAGATGGGAAAAGTTTTGATTCCATCAGGTAAATGTACTTTCAATCAAACTAGCGCAATCAACTTTAACACTAATGTGGCTAATGTTCCATCCAATGTCAAAGTGGACTTGACTCAATATAAAATATGGATAAGCTATTTTGCAATCTAATTTTACATGTATTTTTGGAGTATTTAGAGTTTCTTTAGTCAGGTATGTCAAGCAGTGGCTATGACCGCTTGTAGGGTCGGATTAGCATGCGAACATATCGCAAAGAGCCTTTGGGACCGGGCTGAATGTGATTCCACAGAATGCCCTTGTAGTAGTCAATCTGTTGCCCATGCCTGTGCTGGAACGTGCCAAAGAGATTGCTAAAATAAAGCATACATAGGTTAGAGAGGAACATGAGTCAAGCTTATGACGGAGCTACCTCTTAACACAAGTGCGCCCATACCACCAAGCGCCCATATGAATGGGAGCACAGTTCTGGCCGTTGTCGTCGTTGTCCTGGTCGTAGGTGGTGAATTTCTTGCCGGCGTGGTGCTGCAGCGCGTTGCCGGCATTGCCCTTGTAGGAGCCCAGCACGTAGAGGAAATACTTCTCGGCCTCGCTGCCAATGCTGAACTGATCATAGTTCGCGAAGTACTCACCCTCCTCATTTCTCATTATGATGAGCAGCTCGTGGGTGTCGCTGTGGGTCAGCCGGTAGAGTTTGTCCAAGCCAATAAAGAATTCGGAGTTCAGCGAGCCAAAGCCCGTCTTATATGTGTCCCATTCCCGATAGAAATCCTCGCTGCCATCGAAACGATAGGCGATCACCAGCCAGCCACCGTCATGCTTCTCCTGATCACAATTAACGTAGAACGGCTCCATATCCGGCGAGATTCGGATCCGCACCAGGCCATGCTTCTGGCCAATACAATTGCGAGGCGTGTCGTCGACACTTGGTGTCCCAGTCTCAAATAGCTGCCTAACGAGAGACTGGGAATTACTATTGGCATATTTACTATTAGAATAATTCATAGAAAATGGCAGATCTGAGTACATTGTTTTGTTAAATGGATGTAAGAGGCAGAGCATGTGACAGACCCCATAAGATATAAGTATATGTATATTTTTGATCAAGGCACCCAATCGACATAGCCCTTTCCGTATGCATGAGCGCACCGATCTCGGAGATTTCAAGAAGTATGGATCGTGCAGATCTGTTTTTTTTTTCTTCAAAAAATCGATAGATACTCCCGTTATTGTATTATCGTTAAATACCTCATCGAATAATAAAATGATATCTACTATATCTTTAAAGCTATAGGCGGCCACTGCCAATAGATTCACAGTTTACAATATAATTTGGAAAATACATTGCTCAAAATATCAGAGGCTCAGACAGATATGGATAAACTGAAAATCTAGATCGGGCTAGATCTTTCGGCTGTAAGCATTATCAGACCCCACAAACACTAACTTAAAACCTTCACCTCTGTATATCTTTACTTTTACACATAATTTTCAATGTACTGTGTGACATGCTTGCAAGATGTAAAGAGAACTGCAAAAAAGACGCTCAAAGTGCATATTTTTGGTTAGAGATGTATATGTATTAATGTATAAAGCACCAATTATGCATAGTACAGGTAACAGCGCGCTAGAGCTGACATTCCAATCAGATACAGGTACATGCACATCAAAGCACGCGCTCTGCGAACTGCGCAATTAGCAACTAATACGCTTGGTTGGGCTGCAGTATTCGATTTTAGTCGATAAGTAAATGGGATGAGTTATTGAGAAAATATGATGAATTCATACTGCACGCCTACACATATGAAATGTCATGTCTCTATCATTGAGAGTTTTTTTCGAAACTGTTCTATGTAGAACTAGTTGATTCACTTACATCCGCGTCTCTATAGGCCGCCGTGGCGCTTGGCTCTTGTACTCATCGATGAGCTGCTGCACTTCGGTGAGATCCGCGTGCAGAGATTGCAGCTCGGCGGTCATAGAGTGAACTCTGAATGAAATCAACTGTGACATTGGCACCGCCTCACGCTTAAGCATGACTTACCGCATCATCAGAGCATCGAGCACTGCCGCCGGACAGCCAAGGGTGTGCTGAAAAATATAAAGTTTAGGAACATAGGTTCTTCCTAATGGAGTGTAGTTGATATTGGCGTACATTGCGAAAGGTCAGCGTCGAGTCCACCATGATGTTTGTTACCAAGTTTCCTGGCAACGTTGTCGAGGGGGTGCTCAGGCAGGTTAATGCAGTGACCAGGGCTTCCAGAGTCATGCTGCCAGCTGGTAGAAAGCTGCGCTCTCCGCACGGACTCGGACTACTGAATTTGATGTGCTCGCCAGTAGCTCTGACAGCCAACTGCGATGTAATCGACCCGCAGCGAGTGCGCGATTCGCAGACTAGCTACGAGTCGCATAAGCTCAAGCTCGTCTAACTAACTGATAAACTAGTTACGCCACCGACTGCATATAGTAGAATACTCGTTTGCAATACGCCCGCGTGCACCTGTATATAACGCTGCTGACTGGAGCTGTATCCGATGACCTTTGCTGTTGCCCCTGGAGAAATCGCCACTGTAACAGATTCAGCGACGAGAACCTCTAACTTAGTATACTCGTGCATCTGAGCCGGGGCGCAATGTCGCAAATGCTACAGCTGGATGCGCTGGTCACAATGCTGGCCTGCCTAACAACAACCCATAATAATGTGACCGATCAGGCGTTGCCTCCAGACGATGCGGTGAGTCATAGAAATTCCGTAGAGTAGCATAAGGTAGAGGTAGCTCAAATGTGCGAAAGGGAAATCAGAAATGAGATATATTTGTTTGGTTAAAATTGGTTTAGCAGCCAGAATGAGACGTGGCATAAACTATCTATATTCCTGCTTAGGCCGGTGCGCTGAGTCGCTATTACACATCGGTATATTCCAATGCGACGATTTGAGAGCCTAGAGACTTGAATTTTGTTTGTTCCCTGTATATCACGCTCAGATTGGGCTTGTTTCAAAATATGTTTTACATCTTTATAGATCATCAATTTGAATATAAATTCCAATGTATCTCACACTATTTATTTGAATTATATTATTACGGGCCTCAAATTCCACCCCTTCCCTATAGATCTGCAAAATACGTATTTTTTTAGAGATTTATCACATTCTGAAAGTTCATCTACAAGAAAAGTTATTCAACAAATGAAATAGCCCAAATTGCAGCACAGGCGAAGAAGCTGCGTCAACTGCGACTAAGGAACTATCTTTAATCATACAGCTCTTGCATATCCCTTGCAGGCATCAAGCAACTGTCCTCTAGCTACGATTAGCAATCTGAACACAAAAATCCATTCGCTTTCCGAGGACTTAGCCAGAGCCAGGGAGAAAATGGGCATCCTGCAAGAGGAGCTGGTGGATCTGCGACGCTGGGGTAGCCCCAACAGTGCTGCGTCTGCAGCACCGCTGGACAAGACCTTTAGCACACGCATGTAAGCTGGTCCGCTTGACATATATTTTTAGCTTTCTTAGAACACATCTCACACTTAATTCCAGTCTTGATGTACAGCCACAAACGCAGGTGGATCCATCGGATACGCCCCAGAACTGCCTGAAGCAGAAGCACGGCGTCGTTCGGATTCGATTGCAGGCCAATGTGGAACCGTTCTTTGTGTACTGCGATCAGAAGACTCGGGGTGGCGGCTGGATTGTGGTGGCCAACCGTTTCGATGGCACCCAGAACTTCACGCGCAATTGGGGCGACTATAAGATCGGCTTCGGGTCTATCGCGACCGAATTTTTCATTGGCCTCGAGAAGCTGCATCAAATCACCAACAGCGAAGACAATGAGCTGCTCGTTATACTCGAGAACCGAAAGCAGGACCTGCGCTATGCACTGTACGATCTTTTCAGCATTGGAAGCGAGTCGGAGCAGTACATCCTGAAAGTGCTGGGTAAATATCAGGGAGACGCCTCCGATGCGCTGCGCCAGCACTTGGGCAAGAAGTTCAGCACCCAGGACAGAGACAATGATGAGAGCAACGCCAACTGCGCAGCTGAGCAGTCGGCTGCCTTCTGGTACAGCAACGTCTGCACTCTGAGGTAGGTTGAGTTCAATCGCATGAGCTTAGGACTCCAATGTCTTCAATGTCTTCCACAGCAATCCGTTCGGCGTCTATCAGCCCCAGCTAAATCGGGATGTAGATGGCTATCAGGGCATTTTGTGGCACGGCTTCCTGGATGGTCCCAAGGGCTCGCTGAAAAAATTACGCATACTTGTGCGCCCACGCTCCAGCACTGGCTGAAAGATATCCACTATGGTCATACAACATATAAATAAACACAACCAATCCTTTATTTTTGGCAGTACACGAATCCCAAACAAAGCAAAACAAATATTATCATAATACGTACACACATATGTATGTGTGTAAAAAAAAAATTAAATATATAGTATAAATTCTTTAGTAATTAAACGTTAAACTTTAGCCAAACAAATGGATAACAAAATAAGCGCGACTGGGCTAAAGTATCGTATAGCATATAGCAGTATTTATATTAATAGTTTAGCCGCACAGCTGAAGCAGGTTATTAATGTAGGGACTAGACCTCATTTTCTTTAAATGCCTCCTCAGTCGTCGTCGTCGTGCGCATCGTCGTTGTGGTGGTGGGATCCTCGTATCCTTTGACTACCAAGGCATCGCCAAAGACGGGCTTGAAGAACAAAACGAAGCGTGAGTAACGACGTGCCGAGTTCTGGAATAGAAATAATTAAGAGTAAATAAAAAGGAGAATTATTCACATATTTCAACATATAAGACTCAAGCATTTTTAACATGTAAGGGCGCTCTACTCGAGAATGTACTAAGAGATCCCCTAAAACCCTCGAGCCAATCATCATGCTCTTATTTATATACAGTGGCTCACACCTTATTTCGTGCAGCAGCATAGTAAAACTTTGAAAC